GGGGAACACCGTCCCCTGGGAAGAAGGAATCTACCAGGATGAATTCTCTGTCTTGCTTGAAGTTCTGGTACTAAGCAAGGTGTTCATTCTGCCCCCTCTTTTCTTACAGGAAAGCAGAAGGAGATTGGTGAGTGTCACTGACACCCTGGGGGCTGTTTCTGTAAGCAGATCGCAATATGGGGTGCCAGGGTGGGCCAGTAGAGGGCAAGTCACCCTGAACCCCACCAGATATAGCCAGGGGAGCCGCCAGTGTGAGTGGGCCTGGTGTCAGGAAGGATGAGAGAGAGCTGGGTTGGAGGCACTCTCTGCCTGCTTTCCCTCAGCTTTCTTCAACCAAATGTCCCGGGGGAAAGCACCTCTGGTGGCAGCCATGGTCCTTGCAACCAGTGAGATTTGGGGTTGCGGTGGGGGTGGCTGCTGGTGTCCAGGCTCGTGGAGATTTGGTGCAAGCAGGAGCAAGGGAAAAGGAGCTATTGAGGGAAGGCCAAAGAGATGTGAAAGCCTAGGGCCTTGGCCAGCCCTGGGTGCTGGTAGGGACGTGTTTGCTGGTGGATGGTGGTGACTATCCCAGTGAGAGCCCCGTGATGAGTAGTTCCAAAGAGGGGGAGCCACCACCAAGCCAGAGGAGTTTTTTACCCCTCCCTGGGGGACAGTCCCAGAGTGGACTGGCTTGCAAGGACCTTGTGGATCTTGCCCTGACATTGTGTCTTCCTCTCCTGTGACCACGGTGACTCGGCAGAGGAACTGCGCGCAACGAACGGTGAGTCTTTCTGTTTGCCCACCTGCCTTCCCCACTGGGATAGAGACCTTGGGTTGGGGGAGGAGGGATGCTTCAGCAAGGCCAACTGCTCCACAAGTGCCACGTTGAGAGACCCTACCAGCGCCCAAGGCTCAACATGGAGAAAATTAGGAGAGCCAAAGCGCAGCTAGAGCTCAACACAGCTACAGCTGTTAAGGATAATAAAAAATGTTTCTATGAATTCATTATCAACAAAAGGAGGACTAGGGAAAATCTCCCTTATTTATCAGGGAGAGGGAAGCATAGTC